AATTGCATACTTTTTATGTCACGGCCCATAATTGTAGAAATATAATATTTATTAATTATAAACAAATGTTTGTAATGAAATATTTTTATGAGAATTAACTTTTTAATAAGTATCACCGACCTCAATGAGCCTATTTCATGATACATTGCAATAAACCTTCCATCCTCAGCGCTATTATTTTTCCTTTAAATATGAACTGAACTGGGCAGCAGACTGTCTCAAAAAAAAAAAAAAGGTGGTGGTAATTTTTTTTAAAGACAACTCCCGCACTAGGAATATATCCTGTGTTGCGAGAAACTTTACAAAGATACATGAAATGGACACAAAGAACACCAAGACTCAGAACGACTCTTCGTGGATCAGACAAAGAGTCGTCCCATGTGGGGATCGAACACATCGAACACACAACACTCAGCATAGTAGGAAGCGGCGTGACGACCGCTTAAACCACTACGCCATCCGTGCAGTCAAATTACGGAGTTCCTAGGTAACATACATAAAAAAATTCAACTCAATTGAGAATCTCCTCCTGTTTCACCGGCAAGCTTTCGTTTTACTGTCGGTGAAAAGCACTTATTGCTGCATAGTAAATTACAATTATTGAGTTTTTTCTACTAGCATCTTACTGTCACAATTTCATAACCAGGTTTGGTTTTTAGTTACACAAGAAAGAAAATTCTAAAATTAAGTAAATCGTTAGATGCAATGAGGGAAATGATTTGCAGTTAGTCATTGAATTTTCACAATCTTTAACTCCGCGATAAACCGAGTTCAAATAGACCGTAACCCATTGATTGCTACAACAAAGTTAGATAAAATAAAAAGTTAAATTCTCACAACTTGTGTTTTTATTGAATGGAACTAAAGACTGTTAAATTAAATTAAATAGTTTGCGCACGAATGGAGATGCCATTAACTAAAGTTTTTTTATTCCCTCAATATCGCCGCTATCACTGTTTTCCACCACTGAAAAAAAATCTTGTTTATTATTTAAACTTTATTTGGTTATTATATCCCCGGTGCATTAATAAGGACATTCTCATGCCAGACCCGAACTTTAACATGGCTATTTGAGATTGACGTGATCGATTTACTGATTGATATGATAATATAATCATACCTCTACGTCGTTTAGTATATTGTCTTTTATGCGAAATAAGATGAATAGATGAGGATAAGAGTTTCGAAGGTGTATTCCTGCCTAAGAAATACGTGTATATCGCTGTGTGTAACATTATGAAATTGTTTTTTAAGTAAACTTGGATAGTTAAGTTATACAATAAAAATAGTTTAAAATAAGCCTCATCAAAATAGGATGGGATATATCATTTTGTACAGAATTTTGTTAGAACCATCAACCCACGTTCTCGACAAATAATACAAACATTAAAAAACTTGAAAATTTGAATTGAATAGATTGTAGTATTAAAAGGCGAAAGTTTGTTTTTTTTTATTACGAAAAAGTAACAAAATATAAGTACCTCGGAAATTTGCGTAACATTCAAACTACTTAATGATAAAAAACACGGCTTTTTTTTCTCCAACAACAGTTACCTCTAAAAGAAAAAGCTTAGTCAAATCTTCATATTTATCTTAAACAAAAGAAATGTCTACACAGTGACACTACAAAACGTACATATTGCATGTGACTTAAACCATCAAAACATACGCATTATGCAAGACTTAATACGCTTTAATAAATGAGTACATGACTTTCGACCATCATTACTTTTATATCATAATGTTCGAAGAACGCAACTAGTTTAATGCGATCTATCAAAAACTTGGCCAAGCTTTCGCTTTCAATGAAGAGCTGTTTTATGATATCATTTTGAATCAAACTGGTACTCGTTACTGAAGGTTATTAATTATGTAAAGTATAACAGTTTTAGTGACATTTCATTCAAAAGATTTTTCGTTTACTTGTAGGACCCGATGCATTTGTTTTTTAAAGAAATTGTAGAAAAGTAAACAAAAAAATTAGGCAATTTAAAAGGTGTATGATATGCCTAGCTAACACGACCAATATGTCGATGAGTATCAAGAACTTTCTTCCCCGTTTTTCAAAGAATGTGTAAAAAAACATTGTGAGTTTGCAAGTTTTAGGTTTGAATTAACCTTGTAATTGCATTTTTCGAACGTTGTAAGCCGGTATATTCAGTTATACTTCTAAAAAGTTGAAACTTAGGGTTCAATATTGTTTATCAAAAAACAGAATACTATTTAAACAAAATTCACAGATATTTATGGAATAAATTACGTAAATCGTAATATGTTTTACGACATGGTGTAGAGTTGGTTATTTTTACATTACATTATAGCGTACACTGTACAGCGTAACTTGTTGCTGATGAAAGACTTTGTTGGAAAAGGTATGGTTCTTGAAGTATTTAGCTCTCATAAATTAATAATTTTACCACATTTACTATTGAATACTACAATAAGGTACAAATATAATAATATAATAAATAATAGGTAAAGACTGATCATTTGAGTACATAAATGCATTTAAGGATAGAATTCGAATAGAATTACATTACTGTATTTATTAAATATCCAAAATTATTTTTGGAATATTTTTACTTTGCCTCGTAAAAAGCCGAAGTTCAGTCATATCGTAGTAGACTTAAAGCCGACCCTGACCTATTTTAGAAATTTGTATTAAGTTTGTTTATGATTAGCCGTTACTGTGTAATATATTTATTAGTTACAGATAAGTCTTAAATGTTATGTTAACAAGTAATCCAAAGTGCCTGGATTGCAACGTTGCCTTATTCAATCTGCTTTGGATTGACACTCTGGGTATAAATCAGTCGACTAAATCAGGTAGTATGTCACACATGTGACGTATAGAAACTGGATTTTAACTAGCTTAAGTAGACTATATAAAGTAGAATAGTGCAATAGAAGTTGTATACTTAACTTCTACCAAGATTATAAATAAGAAATTAACACTGTCGGTCTGTAGATTTCCCCTCCTACAAATATACAGTTATTGGTAATTTAATGTAAACATTATATTTAAAGCAATAAAAGTAATTACTTTTATGTGATCATAGATTTTACATGCATTATGCCCCTGAGAATTTGTCTTAATATCTGATACAATCTATCTGCACGCCAAATTTAATCGAAAGCTAACCAAATTCAACTATTTAATAAGAGTTTTTATTTCGCAAAAGACTAATAAACATATAAAACTACAACCACACCCTCACGAACTTTCACGTTTATACGTAATAAAAGTAACATATAATTAGTTTCAAGAAAAATAAATAATTCATATTGTTATTAATTAACGAACATCCTGTTTAATAAGGTGCATCAGAAAGCCCGGGCTTTCTGATGCACTTCCGCAGTAGCTTACGTACATCCGTCTAAGATATCCAATCCGTCTATTTGACCGATTATAAAAAGAATAAAGCATTAAAGCTTTTTCTGTTTTAATTGGTAAGAAATCCTTTAAAAAAAGTTAAACCGACTTGAAACATGACTAACAAAGAGCACTAAAAACTTAGCATTAATCGCGGTTTATTTGCTGACATTTTTTGAAGAGCTCCGTTGTTTGTCTCCGAAACTCATCATGAGATCTATATGAAATTTAAATGAAACCATTTCCCCAATAAACCCCTTTCGAACAAAAAAATAATTTTGAAAATCCGTCTAAATGTGACGTGAGTTATGCCCGAACATACATAAATATATATCAATAACCGAATTGATAACCTCCTTCTTATTTTAAGTCGGTTAAAAAGGAAATTTTACGTCTAAAAGATATTCTGATACGAGAATGTATTCCTTTTTTTATCAAACCTTGCCCAATACTAAGTTCGGTTAAGTTTCAGAATATAGATTGTCCTCTAAAATTTAATTTAAATAAGAAATACGAGTACATGTTACGTGTTAAATGGTTAAAATAACATTTAATCATTTAACTAAATATTTTACTAAAACATGTCGAAAATTTAATAGAATCTTAAAATGATCGTAATTAATTTTACACGATGGGCTGATTCTTTGTAAAATTAATAAAATTATTAATGTATAATAACCGACCTGGTGTGTGATATATGCATACCTATGTAAGATTTATGCAAACGTAATTTCATTGTTGACGAATTATAAACAAATTTAAATCAAAAGTGTACCATGTGGCCATCAGGTCATTTTATTTATATTTGCAATTTAATGAATTATAATTTACATATTTTTTTCTGAAGAACTAATTTCTAGAAATAAACAGCTTTTGCAATTAGAATATTTATTAAAAAAAGTACAAAAGTAACACCAATCACTAAAGCTAAAATAAATAAATACTATACCCTAAAATAATCACATGGGGATGCGAACCCACTACACTACACTAGTGGTTATTCATGACGTAATAACTCAAGAAAAAGATTTTTGAGAATCTTAATCAGGTCAGAACCTTTGGCTTCACTGATTTTCAAAATGACTCATAAGTTTAACTAACTCTAACTAGTAATATTATTTATAATTACTTTTTAGTTCAAACATTCTCACTATTAATCACTATCACTAGACATCCTTTAATAAAATTGTGTGCATTTACAACACTTAACATTAGAGTTACGATAATATACCTCTAAAATCACCATCTATGGGATACCTTGGCTAAAATTTTTATTCATGGTTTCATTATCTTAATTCATAAAAAAGAGCTTTAAAAAAGTTTCACGCAAATTTTATGACAAACAATTAAATCATTATATTCTTAATGATGTTATAATTATGCGTGCTACGTTACTGTACGTAGCTCAACTGCTCGTAGCCGCTACGATATTAACATAAAAGATATCAACGAGTACCCACTGAAGAAAAATATTTTAATTAGTTTTTCAGAAAAGTTAATTTTTAAATAAAACGTGACATCTTGCTCGCTTTTACATTTAATTTATAAAAATATTTATATGATTTAGAATCATGATTTTATAACAAATACTGTTTAAGGATAAGTAAAAATATAGTGGACTAAATACCTTGCTATCATTATTGCGAAACACCTCACTCTCCAATTTATGTCCGAACACAACACTTATACCATAGAGCACAGAACGCGATCACAAAATACAATATTTAATTTTGTATCATAGTTTGTATTGTTGGTTATAATTTGTATTTGGTACGTGCTAGCGGTGGTGCGACGTGGTTAGCACTGAAGCGGTGCCCGGGCGCCGGTTCGTCGAAGCCTGCGGATAAGCTGCGATGAAAGTGCTCCACGTGACGCCACAGAAGGACGCTGATGCCACCACTTTTATATGACGTGTTTTGGCCACACAACCTTATTTTTATTATACAAACAAAAATGTATTTCGAAAGATTAAAACTATGTTATAAGAAATTAACTGAAACAAAATATATTGGCGGGATATTTTGTATATATTTTATTTTGAGGGTTTGATTACTACCCAGGCAGTCGTGTGATTAGCATGGTCATTTGTTATTCGTCTGGGTGTAATTTATTTACAACATTATGTTAGTCTAGGCTCAACGGTCGCCACATACTCCTAACTCCTGCGTCCCCGAGGAGCCGGAGATCCGAAGGGATTTTGCACACCATAAACAGAAAATAAAAAAGGGTCAACGGTTGCGTGTAAGATGTGTTAAGTTATTATTTTTATTATACTTTCTGCTACCGTTTCACTTGACTGTTCAGTTTCTTACAAACTGTCAATCCTTTTAGGACATTAACAATTAAGTGAAAATTAAATTAGAACTATCCCTAAATCTTCTAACATTACATGGTAAGGGATACCACATACTTTGGATAGGAAACGGGACTTAAGACGCAGAAGTTCGAAGAGGTTGAGTTTAAGTTTCTCTACATCATCAACAGCCTATCGTAGTCTACAATTGAACCTCTGCCTCTCCCATCTCTACACACAGATATTTTTTTATTTTATTTAATCTTTATGCACAATTTAAATTGTACAATAGCAGACTTAATACTACAGGTATTATCTTCCAGATATATTGTGATTGTGAGATTTAAATAGAGCGCGTTACACGTAAAGTAATAGGGGATGATTAGATTGGTCAAACTATAGACTCCGTAGTTTAACGACTCCGTAGTTTAAATGCAACTCGATGGAAATGTGAGGCAATACAAAGGTATGTAATACCAAGTGATCGCGTTATTTCTTATTTGTATAGATAATTGTGTGGCCGTGAGAAACATAAGGTTCAACTATTTGGAAGTGAGCAATTATAGATCGACATTGGCAGATAGTTATCTAAACTCTTTGCAACACGGTATTAGTTATATATATTATATCATCTTCAATTTTGACAAAGAAACCTATTGTTTCGGAGAATGTACTTTTTTATTTTACATGTACACACATCTTTGAAATGTAGTCAAAAATGTATATCTCTAATTCCAGCAAAAATGTGCATACACCCTGCTTTCATCAATTTTTGTTATTGTCGTATCCATCTGTACCTAGATAACTCATATAATACATCGTTGCTTAGCTTAAAATTTCATTATCTTTTAATAATTTATGACAGGCAATTAAATTTGGTACTGGTATCATGAAACCTGGAATTCGGCAACCTGAATCCGATCTCACAGTGACAAACGCATTTAATATCACACAAAACAGCCAAATATCTAATAAGTAAAATGACCGGAAATAGGTGGAAAAATATTTATATGTATTCGGCTGGTGTGTTTATTTAAATATTACTGGTAATAAATTTAACTAACATATTTAAAATTCAATGAAATTCATCATAAAATTAACTTCAGTTCCATATAAGGCAGTATTATGTATTGCTAAATTTTTATACAACTTTTTTTTTTAAAGTTCAGTTGAGTTCTAAGCAGAGTCTAACGTATAATAAGGCACAAATAACACCTCCTTGATGAGTCATCATCAAGGAGGTGAACCGTTGTTAATTTAGAAATATTTTTACTTGTAGAATTTTGTGTTTGAACTTGTTTAAATAGTCAAATACATCTAGAACTGTAAAAAGTCTTTTCTAAGTAAAAATATGATCAACATTTTAATAAAAAAGTTAGTTTCATTGTAGAGTTTATTTCTCAATGGTCACGCACTAAGTGTTAGACACACATGCACAGAAATAAACTTTACTAAAAAAGAAGTTTCCTTTTTCTTTGAAATACTCTCTTACTTTCCCTTTCTTTCTCTCGCATTTATCCACATACAACGACAAAACTAAAACCGTCTGACATAGTATATAAAAAGTGTTAAGTGTTTTAATGCCATCTAACGAACACATGTCAACTACTGTACTATTCTTACATCACACTGTCAAAATTCTCGTATTGTATTAGTACAACCACCTCGCCTGGTCAGATATCCTCTACCAGCGTTGGAGGAACAAAATAACAACTATAAAAACATTACAACAACACATAAACATTATACTCACAAGGTTCAAAATTGCACACACTGGAATTCGAAAAATTGCACTGTGGTAAATTAATGGAACATGTATATTCGTGTAAAGAATATTATATTTAATCGTGCCTATCAATATAATAGTAAAAAAATATTCTACCACATTCACACCACACCATTTAGTGCCAAACTAAGCAGAGCTTGTACTATGGGTACCAGCCAACTGATATAAATACATAATATATTTTTTTGTAAATAAATACATATTATACATAGAAACACCCAGACCAAATCAAACATTAAGTGTGTTTAACTTGAGTGAGAATCGAACCCGCGACCTTTGTTATATATGTAATAAATAGCCCCAATTCCTTGAGTTTAAGTTTGAGCATTGAGTTTTTAATGCTTCACATATTCGGGATGTTTATCGGGTTTTATTATGGTTTATTTAGGTTTATAATACTATCTTGAATAGCGTAGTATCTCGTGAATTACATAAGCGAATACTTTCGACATATCCGTATATGCATGCTCCGCTTATGGGAATCTTACACCCATCGCCGCCATAGTAACACTTTTCATACATAATTATACCCACATACTCACTCGTATGTAAAGTATTTAGTTAAATATTATTAACATAATCATACAGTTATCTAGTTTGGACTCAAAAGATTACATAACCGATACAAAAATTTTGAAAAGATAGGCTCATCATCTTTATCATCAACAGCCTTTACAAGTCCACTGCTGGACAAGGGTCTGTCCTTAGAAGGGAGGTTTTGGCCTACTATACCACGCTTGTCAGATAAGTTGGTATAGGGTTTGTTTCAAATTTTCCTTCTCTTTGTATTGCTGTTATCTGTGTAGTTCGCTTCCTTGGTCGACCCTTACGATACCCACGGGATGAATAGAGGGGGTAACCCTTCGTATTTCTAATCCGTGACCACACATACTAGATAGGCTCATTTGAAGTAATTTTATCTGATAGATTGATGATATGATCAGATTCTTGAGTTCGTCTGTATAGTTCGATATTTAATCTTTGTAAGTAGGGTGTAGCCCGAAAACGAAAAAAGGCGATAGTAGATACTAATGATACCTTAGATCATCAGTCAGAAGGAAAACAGTATTCTGAGTATTCTAGCTCCATCACGTTAGTAAAAATAATTGAAACTATAATGCCGTAAAAAATACATCACCGTAATAAAAAAATGACAGCGCAATATTTGAAAAAAATTAAAATATTAATGTAAGCTATCTTCAACTGACGCCCGGGCTAAGGTTCAACTGCAGAGCGCGCGTCGAGATTGCTCGGGGTCCTGATTATTCGATTATCATGAAACTTTGCATGCAAGATTTTTAGTGATAGAGGTCACCTTTGATACAAGTAAAAAATCCCGGTCGTAGAAAAAAATACTTTTATTCGAGCAAAGTCGCGGACGAAAGAAATACGAGTAAACTCGTATATAAATCCACTAGTTTTACACACTATATATTTAATCATTCATTCTATACAACTAATGATGAACATTTATGATAAAGATGATATTTATCAGGTATCGTATAAATTAAAATAATCGTTACGCAAGTAATATTGTGTGAATTCAATTCATTCATATTTTTTTCTTCATTGATCATTCACAATGTGGTATGGTTCTGCGCCAGTAGGTATAGAGTAATAAATACAGCTCCTTATGGAACGTCTAGGATAAATTAATTATTAAGATTTTAGGATTACTAATACCTAAAGGGTTGTTGTGTTCATGTCGTCAATTTCAGCGTACCTAGAGCACACTCTTTGTTTTAAATATACCTAATGCTTGTAACGATAGTCATTTGTTAAGCTCTACAGCTAAGCTAAATGCTTGTGTTGGGATTGAGTTCACTTCAGTAGTTCACTAACATACACAACTAATAGGGCCGGATTCAAACCCGCCAGTACTTGATCGTAAGTCCGACTACCACCTAAGACGTATGTTCAAGTTGTACATCAATTGCGAAACACAATCACTAACGGAAAACCTAATACCTAATCTTAAAGTCAGTTGTTGTAATTTTTTTCAAATAATACAGATGTAGGTCAGTAAGTTTCTCAGGCATACGGATCACTAAACTAAATTTCTCAAAACACAACTTATTAAAAAATCGGTAAACAATAAATCGATAGTTATGCGAGCGGATCGAATAATTTGTCGCTTGCCACAAATTGATTGTGACATTGCGGACCAGTCAATCGATTTATTTATACAACGAGAAACAAATATGCAACGTCTAACATTTTCGTAACACTAGATGCAACTATTTTCTAACAATTTTTATTCATCGCAAGTCCTTAGTAGTTGCGATAATAATTGGCAAGCTGTTATCTGTGTCAGTTTCGTAACAACCGTTCATCATTTTACTTGTGATAATAATTGGATCGTGTATTTTTTAACTATTGGGTTTACAGTTAAAAAAAGAATTGAAAGAGATTTTGAAATATTTACCAGATTTCAGATTGACGATAAGATAAGAAATGATTAGTAGTTAAAATAAAATAAAAACTAGTTCAAATCTATTTCTTTTTGGTTGTTTCATTGTTGTTTGATTTATCCGTAATTAACAGCTAAAGATAAGAATA